TAAAACTATTACTAATGTAAACTACGATAATTACATGATGTTTATTCACTAACTAATACGAATAAGAAAAATATAATAAAATCAAACTACTCAATCTTCTTTAACCACAGATCTATCACCGGTCAAGTGGTCTATTTTTTCATCAGGGCGCTCAAAGAAGTCTGCCACATCTAAGTGGGTGATGTCAAATTCATTGTCATAGACAAAATTAGCTTCAGGACCTTTATTCTTTAGAGATGCTTGATAAAGCTCAACCAAATTTCTTGGTGTACGACAAATATTTTCGCAATGCCCTTTTCCACCGCAACGATAACATTCAATTTCTGAACCATTTGCCTTTGGCTTCTCATCTTTTCCTTTTCACTTTTGGTGGCTATTTTTCTTTGGGGGTGATTAACACCAGGAAAAATTCTTCCTTGTCTACGGTCACGGCCACGACCACGACCACGAATAGGGCCACGGCCTTTTCCACGCTTAGCATAATGGGAATACACCTCATCCACTTCAGGCAATAGTGTAGACCTAGTGGGTTAATTTTCGTGATTTCTCATGAGCAAGTCATTGTTTCGTTCAGCCACAAGGAGAAGAGAAATCAACTCAGAGTACTTCTTGAAACCTTTCTCTCTGTATTGCTATTGCAGGACCATATTGGAGGCATGAAACGTTGTAAACGTTTTTTCAAGCATATCATAGTCAGTGATAGTATCTCCACAGAGTTTCAATTTAGAAGTAATTCTGAACATCGCAGAATTATATTCAGAAACAAAGTTAAAGTCTTGGAGCCTCAGATGAGCCCAATCATATCGTGCTTGTGGAAGAGTAACCAACTTTAAGTTTTCATATCTTTCCTTTAAGGCATTCCACAAAATAAGTGGATCTTTGACTGTGAGATATTCTATTTTCAACCCTTCATCAAGGTGATGGCGCAAGAAAATCAAGGCCTTAGCATAGTCTTGGGTGGATGCTTTAGTTTTGTCTTTAATGGCGTCTCCAAGACCCATTGTATCTAAATGGATTTCAACATCCAACACCCATGTCATATAGTTCTTGCCCGAAATTTCAAGGGCAACGAACTTTCTTTTTATAATATCAGTCATAATTAAAAGAGGAGAAAAGTTATACCTTAGTCTTCTCAAAGAGCTTTTTGAGACGGTAGAGTCTCATGCTGATAACGTGTAATAAAACAATAAAAGTAGAAGAATAATATTGCAGAAAAAGAGAGTAATTCTTATTGAATTTTGGGATGATTTACAATGGGGTAGTACCCCTCTATTTATAGGGGAAAAATGACTTAACCACAAAGTAAAACTCTCTAAAGATAGACATTCAGTCTAATTACAATTCTATTCATAACAGGAAGGAAACTGTGGAATGACTTACATTCTGTTGTCATCTATGTATACAAAAATGTTCAAAACACTTTGACATTTCATAAAAAGATAAATCAAAGTTTTTTCATAACAGAGTTTTCATAAAAACAGGAATTAAACTCAAAATATAAGTGCTGAATAGTAGCTCAACATCGGAGTGTCACTAAGTCATGAGCATCTACAACCAATCTAGAATCAGAGTTTACAATACTCTGCCAAATGCCAAAAACATAAAAGAAAAGATAACAAGGAAGGAGAGACAAGGACTGCGGACACCGACAGCTACCTCGCATGTCTCCGTTGGTCGACCGCGCACGAACTCAATAACCTCCGCGATCGGTCACACCTGAATCTGCACACAAGGTGCAGGGAGTAACGTAAGTACTTCCAACTTAGGAAGTAACAGAAACAAATAAGGAACTGAGAAGCAGTGACGAGCTATGCAAATACAATTTATTTCAGTAACTTTCAATAAAATAGACATGCTTTCAAATCTAGCAGTTTAAGCCAAATCAGTTCGTACTCCAGTAAACCAGATATCAAGTTTTCCAGAAATTTGCACAACAAGGACGGATAACAACTAATTGCAACAAATAATTGAAAGCAAGCACAGCCTCTTCAAGACAACAGTCACTCAACTCATCTCAACAGCTCAATCACTCGGCTCTCAGCCCTCAGTACTCACACTCAATAAGTACCTGCGCTCACTGGGGGTGTGCAGACTCCGGAGAGGCTCCTTCAGCCCAAGCGCTATATCGCTTCAGCGTAAAGCCCGATCCAATACATAAACAGCCATAAGGCTCGTTGCGGCGTGCAACCCGATCCAATATAGATAATTAGCCCGAAGGTTCGTTGCGGCGTGCAACCCGATCCAATATATACATATATAGCCCTGAGGCTCGTTGCAGCATGCAACCCGATCCAATATACACTCACATAGTTCACAGCTCGGTACTCAGGCCCTATCTCAGTCACCAACCTCTCCAGTCCCTCGGGCTCTCAGGAATCATACAATTCAACCCAAATAGAGATAATAACATGTATCAATAATAAACAAGAAGGGACAAAGGTATGATACGCAAGTAATATCATGACTGAGAACAAAACAACAAATAGCAGTTAATTCAACAAGTACACGACCTCAAGGGTCCCAAACAGTGATATCATAAGGCCTAAACATGATTTCTAACATGAATTGCATCAATTCCCATAAAAATAGAGGGAACATGTAGTTAACAATAAGCTATTCGATTCTACGGTCTCACAGGATGGACTAATCACAATCCCTGCGGTGCACGCCCACACTCCCGCCACCTAGCATGTGCATCACCTCCAAAAATGATCACACGACACAAGATCCGGGGTTTCATACCCTCAGGACCAGATTTATAACTGTTACTTACCTCAACCTGAGCGAAACTCTACTCCAAAATGCTCTTGCCTCGCAAGTCGGCCTCCGAACATCCCGAATCTAGCCACAAGCAGTACAATACATTTAATATAGGCTAAAAGGATCAATTTCACAACAAAACTACTAATTTAGACCCAAAAATCCGAAATTGGCTCAACCCGGCCCCGGGCCCACGTCTCGAAATCCGACAAAAGTCACAAAACTCGAAAGCCCATTTACTCACAAGTCTAACCATATCAAATTTACTCCAATCCGATAACAAAATCCGATTCAAAACCCCTAAAATCTAACTCAAGAACACTTCATCTTCTTCCCCAATTTTCCACCCCAAATCACAAATTAGATGATAAAATCAAAGATATAATCATGGAATTTAACCAAAACCAAGTAAGAAACACTTGCCCCAATCAACTCCGCAAAAATACCTTCAAGGATCTCCCAAATCCGTGTTCTCTAGCTCAAAATATGAAAAATGGGCTCAAACCCTCGAAATTAACATTGTTTGCCCAGATTTTCTTCATCGCGAACGCGGAAATGGCGTTGCGATCGCGAAGCACAAAGCAGACTGCCCACACATACAACCCTAGGCGAACGCGGAATCACCCACGCGATCGCGGATCACTGCCTCTCAAACCTACGCGAAAGCGTCCAGCCCCACGCGATCGCGTAGAGCAATTGCCTCCCCTCATCTACTGCTCAAATCCTTCTACGCGAACACGACCTCATCCATGCGTTCGCGAAGCACAACTTACAACACTTATGCGATCGCGTTCCTTCCTCTGCGACCGCATAGAACAAATATCACCCCTGCCCCAAATAAGCTTACGCGATCGCGGATGAACTTATGCAATCGCGTATAAGAAAACCAGAAGAAAAATACCAGCAGCTATCAGCCATCTTCCAAAGGCCAAAAATGATCCGTTAACCACCCGAAGCTCACCCGAGGCCCCCGGGACCTCAACCAAACATACCAACAAGTCCTAAAACATCATACGAACTTAGTCGAATCCTCAAATCACCTCAAACAACATCAAAAATACGAATTGCACCCGGATTAGCCTAATGAACTTTGAAATTTCCAAATTCTACAAACGACGCCGAAACCTATCAAATCACGTCCGATTGACCTCAAATTTTGCACACAAGTCATAAATGACACCACAAACCTACTCCAACTTCCGAAAATCAAATCCGACCCCGATATCAAAATTTTCACTGTCGGCCAAACTTGCCAAAATTCTAATTCAAGCCTAATTCTACTACGGACCTCCAAATCTCATTCCGGACGCGCTCCTAAGTCCAAAATCACCTAACGAAGCTAACGGAACCATCAAAAATCAAATCCGAGGTCATTTACACATCAGTCAACATCCGGTCAACTTTTCCAACTTAAACTTCCAACTAAGAGACTAAGTGTCTCAATTCACCCGAAATCACTCCGGACCCGAACCAACTAATCCGGTAATTCATAATGCAACTGTAGAACACAAACGAAGCAGGAAATGGGGGAACGGGGCTATAACTCTCGAAACGACCGGCCGGATCGTTACATAAACACCATGACACATGCCCTTTTCCGAGGTTCTTCTCCCAAAGTCATTTAAAGACAAGGTTAAAAATTGAAAATAAATGTTTAACCCAACTTATTTAGCATAAAATCAAGCTAATATTTTATATTATACTCCACATATAATTGCTGATTGATTATGTTATTATTTAATCCTCTCATTTTATTCCCGACTTAACTTATTCACCACCAACGACCCTTAATGATTAGCCACTTTCCATGAACCTACTTTTCTAAGCATTGTAATCAATGTAATACTAAGCAATTAGCATAGCTGAAGACATGAATTTTTTGTAAGACTAAAAAGTTTAGAAGGGTAACATTTGAATAAGGAACTCTATGCTTATGGTCTTTAATATAAGTAAATAGATAATAAACGAATAGAAAAATTAAAGGGAAAATTTTGCTTTTCTGTAAGTGTGAATAGAAAAAATATGGAAGAAAGTTGTTTTCTGAAATTTCCTTGTTTTTAAAGGAAAAATCGATATCCAAAATTCTAACTTAACTACTCTAGATTTCTATCATATAATATAAAAATAGAGAACGATTAATATACTATTTGACATTTATTTTACAAGAATAAAACTAAGATAACATTGCATTAACAAGTTAAGAAAGTATGTCTATTAAATTAAAAACACATAAAACAAAGTTGAAATATAAATCTTTAGTCCGAGCTTGGACCATTCACCGACCATTGTCCATCGTAAGCCGCTAAGCTCAGCCTTCACCGACGCCAACAAGTGGCGATTTCCACCACATTTTCCACCTCCGGCTCTCCGATTCCGGTCTCCGGTACCTCAAATACTCCTTAAACCTCCTCGAATCTCCAGCGAACTTTCTAGAACAAGCATTTACCGAATCTACACAATTCGTATGCTCTATTTTGCGAGAATGACATTGTGATGAAGGCGCGTGGAGAGATGTCGGGAGCCGAGTATAGCGGCGATCACACCGTCCTGTTACGTTCGAATTCATCGGCGTCGGACGGAGATTTAGAAGGTCAGTTACCGCATAAGACTGGTAGTAGTAAAGGCATTACGGATCTATTGAAGCGTTTGGATCGAGGATTTTCGAATAGACGATCGTCGAGTTTAAAGCGCTCTGATAGGGATCACGGTGCTGCTTCTACTAGCGGTTCTGGTGACGTCAGCGCTGATGAAATTCTCGGTGATAGTGCTCCGCCGGAGTGGGCATTGCTGCTTGTTGGATGTCTCCTTGGCCTCGCTATTGGCCTTTGTGTTGCCGCTTTTAATCGTGGGGTTAGTCGTCAGGATTCTTACTAGTTTTCATTGCAATGTAGATAGTAATACTCCCTCCCTCCCAATTTATGTGATGTTGTTTGTCTTCTCATGGAGTTTAAAAAAGGAGGAATAGTATGTTGAAACTTGTGGTCTAAAAATGAGAAGTTAAAGTTAAATTGTTTCTAAATATAGAAAGATGTCATTTTTTTGGTATCGTCTAAAAAGGAAATTGTGCCACATATATTGGGACAAAGGGAGTGTTACTGGATGGTTTAGTTTTGAATTCATGTACATAGAACCCCTAAATTAGCTTAAAACACAAATAATTTGCTGGTAATGAAATAAACTGAGTTGGAATAGAGTGGAATTGGATATAGAGGATTCAAGTAGCTGATCCTGACTAGTTTGTGGTTGAGGCATTGTTGATTGATTGGTTCATAGGTTAAGTTCCACCAACTGTGAAAAAGGCGAGAGCTTTATGATTTATTGCTGTCTGAACTTCTTTCAGGAATTATAGACATGTCATTTATTTAGTTCTGCCGCTTTTCTGATATTGGTGATTATCTTTTTTTCTTTTTTGTTCTTGATAGCTTTTACAAATTAGAAAACTGAGTGGGGAGTTTTTGTAAAGTTAGCTTCAGATAGTTGTTACTGAAAGGAAAACGGCAGATACTGAGCTGCCGTGCCATGAAATCTGCATGTTGAATCTCAAAGCACTTATCTTGTTTATGTTTGTTCATCTATTTTTCCTGTGGGTTGAAGTTTTCAGAAGTAGAGGCTTATGATAATGAGCTGAAACATTTTTTCACGATGTGAGTTGCTTTGTTTTTGAGGGACTGGGGATACAGAAGGCCAATTTTATAATATTGTTGGCTTGTAATGTCAAATAAGGGGAAGAATTTGGATATTTTTCTTAAACTGTATTGACTCTGTTTTGATGATAGACCAGTAGTTTGAACCGTTTTGCATCCCAGACATTTCATGACAATGAGGATATCTGTTTAGGTACATGTAGTACATGAGTGGGCTTGGGCTGGTACTCCTAATGAGGGAGCTGCTTGGCTTCGCTTGCAAAGGCTAGGTGACACTTGGCATCGGATACTTTTAATACCAGTCCTTGGTGGAGTCATTGTGGGCATGCTGCATGGTCTGCTTGAAATATTGGACCAAATAACACAATCCAGTTCTTCACCGGGACAAGGATTGGATTTATTAGCTGGAATCTTCCCTACTGTAAAGGCAATTCAGGCAGCTGTGACTTTGGGAACTGGTTGTTCTTTAGGTCCTGAAGGCCCTAGTGTAGATATAGGAAAATCTTGTGCCTATGGATGCTCAGTGATGATGGAAAACAATCGAGAAAGGAGAATAGCTCTTGTCGCTGCTGGTGCAGCTGCTGGAATTGCTTCAGGTATGTTGCTTCTCATTGAGAATTATCTGTACCTGACAACATTTGTTGCTTGATCTCAAAGTTGTTACACATACATGATTGTTGCATAGTTTTCATGTTTGGAAGTTTTTGTGGATGATCATTTCTTGCTTAATTTCAGAGCCTTAATGAATAGATGAGTTGCAAAATTATCATGTTTGGAAGGTTTTCTAGTCTGCGTATAAAATTTATGGATTATGATTTGTCTCAAATGTTCAAGGGACATGAAGAGGATCAGAAAAAAAGTTTTATGCTGTCCCATCTTATTCTTTGTTCTGAAAAGAGTTTTTTTCCTCGGTTTCCTCCTAAAAATGAAGCAGTTTAAAACAGGGATTTTGTGATCAAAATGCGCTTGCCTATTATGTTTGTGTATATCTCATCCACATGGCGTACATGTGTGTATTTATCTTCAAAAGTGCACTTGTGAGTGTGTGCTTCATCATGGAGGGGAGTTTAGCTTTACAAGGTCTAAGGACAGCCTTAACTTTTTGTTTGAATTTTGTCCAGATTGAATGAAAGATCTGTCTCTCTGCATCTTTTGCAGGAGCCTTCATCAACTGTTGGATGAATATTCAAGATTTAATTCTTTTGTGTTGCAGGTTTCAATGCAGCAGTGGCTGGCTGTTTCTTTGCAATTGAAACAGTTTTAAGACCACTTCGTGCAGAAAACTCACCTCCATTTACAACTGCAATGATCATATTGGCTTCTGTCATATCGTCTACTGTTTCAAATGCTGTACTCGGAGAGAAACAGGCTTTCACTGTGCCCACGTATGATATGAAATCTGCTGCTGGTATTTGATCTGATTCTAGTTTAATTTATTGTTGTCAAAACATTAGCTCATGCTGCTTGCACACTGTTCCTTTTCTCTTTGTTACCTGGCAACTCTACAATTACCAATGTTGCTATGATGCATATGCACTCTTTTATCAATTGATTTACTACTCTTTCCTATTTCAGTCCATGCTTTGCTCCGTTGAATGGAAATATTTGTAATTAGTGACTTTTGACATGCGATACGTGGTTCCGGGTCCTTTTCCTGCTCTCTGCTCATTTAGTGCCATTTCTTCTATGATAATTTCTCTGTTTTTGTCTGTTCATACTTACAGATTGTCATTCATATGCTAGCTTTTACTAATAAAGGTAGTGACAAACATGTTTTGCTGAGTATTCTCTGATTTCTCATTTTTTTAACAATTTGAACTGGTACATATTTCTGTACTGTTGCTGCCAAGAATGGAAGCCCTTAGTAACACCTCTATGTGATTCGGGATTGTTTTGATTTAACATACATGTTTTCTCCAGATTGATCAGCAAGATGCTGCTCAGAAATATAATTTTTTTTTTTTCCTGAACTTCGTTTCTCAGACGTTCTATAATGGTAAAGATGTCTGCTGATTCTTTTTGTGAGATGAATTTGGAAAAGGAGGATGGATAAAGGGATAGCTGTCTTAGATAATTTTTACATTGTTTTGGGATGTCCAAAGGGGGGAGAGGGCTTTTATTTTATGGACGGAATGTTTCTTGCTGCTTGAGTGCTTTCATAGATTAAACTCAGTTTTGATTGTCGCTTTATTCAACAAAGTTTCCTTCCTGAATACTAAACCGGCTTCCTTAACAGAGCTACCTTTATATCTAATACTGGGGATGCTGTGTGGAGCAGTAAGTGTGGTTTTCACTCGATTAGTCGCCTGGTTCTCTAAAGCATTTCAGTTCCTCAAGGAAAAGTTTGGACTTTCTGATGTTGTCTGCCCTGCTTTGGGTGGTTTGGGAGCTGGAATAATAGCTCTTAGATATCCTGGAATTCTCTATTGGGGTTTTACTAATGTTGATGAAATTCTACATACTGGTAAGACTGCATCTGCACCTGGAATCTGGTTGCTAGCTCAACTAGCAGCTGCAAAAGTTGTGGCCACTGCTTTATGCAAAGGTTCTGGTCTTGTTGGTGGTCTGTATGCACCAAGTTTAATGATAGGTGCTGCTGTGGGTGCTGTATTTGGAGGTTCAGCTGGGGAACTAATCAATTCAGCTATTCCAGGGACTACTGCTATTGCTCAGCCACAGGCGTACGCCTTGGTCAGATCGTCTACTTTTACATATTATGAGTAAATATTTTCTAGACATGATTGGACTTCAGAAAGTAACTCTTTCTAATGCATAATTTAAACAATGCAGGTGGGAATGGCTGCTACATTGGCGTCAGTTTGTTCGGTGCCTTTGACTTCAGTCCTGCTTTTGTTTGAGTTGACAAAAGATTATAGAATATTGCTTCCCCTCATGGTTAGTCTTACTGCCCAAGGAGTCACAAGCTGTAGTTGGTATCAATGTGCGTGTAAAAATTACATTGTTCAGTTAATTATTAAAAGACCTTTGTTTGTGGTAATTGCGTAGCTTCTGCTTAATTGAAGCATTCTCTGTGACGGATGTTTGTCAGTCTGGGTACTTAGCCCCAAAAAAGGATTTTAACAAAAAAGGAAGAAAAGAAGGTCACCGTAAATTCATATTTCAATAGGAGATGAAGCTTCATTTATTTTGGGGGTGAGAAGTGAGAATTCATGGAATGTGTGAAGACAATTAGCTAAGGCAGATAAGCTTTTATAGGCATACTTTACAACTACTATTGTGCACTTATTCCGTGTGGAATTTTACTAGATACTACATAGACTATTACATATATACTCATCTAATTTGTAAAAAGGTAAATTATCTTCAAGTGCCCTGATTTAGTGAAAGTTTAATTGGCCTTTTATTCTAAATAAAAACTTTTAGTACTAACCCACTTATGTTCAATTGACCTTTCATCACCTGCAAATGTTGTCACTGCCAATCCTGTTAATACCATTTGTGTAAAATTTGTTGGAGTAACTTATCCAACAAAGAAACTTTTTTGGAATTTATCAAAAAACCATTGTCAGATTATAAATAATTGGCTAACGAAATTCTCAAGTGATATTTTTAGTTTCATTTTAAGAGCTCTTTTTAGTCATTAGAGATAGTAGTAAGTAGTATACCAAATAACATTATATATTTATTCATGTCCCTTGGATTCTAATTTTAGGTGACTATGAATCCGACGCTTAGATCCATATCTATGTTGGATACTTTACACCTTAGTCCATGTAACAGGTGGAGAAAGATGATTAAAAGGTAGAGCTCTTCTTTGCTCTGTCATCCCTTCTTTTTTTTGGGGCGGGGGGGGGGGGGGGGTAAGTATCACTTATTGCATCTAGTTGCTCGGTTTTATCTCTAACTGGAGCTGTTGTCTTCAAATTGTAGTGACTATACCAGACTATCTAGTCGGCCAGTCAAGTGGACTTTAGTTATCTTTGTTTGATCTGGCAATATTTTGTTATTCCTATGTTATTTTGGGTGAAGTTTCGGTGCTTGTTGAAATGATGACTGATTAACATGCATTTTAAATTATGTGAACAGGGTGCTGTTGGACTGGCAATTTGGGTGCCTTCTGTAACAATCCAGGCAAAGGAAGTGGAGGCATCGGATTCCAAGTATTTGTCAAAAGGATACTCTGTCCTTTCACCAGATGATGAGAAGAATGAAGGTAATGTTTGGAGGCACACAGGTGAGAGGAATGACTTGGAACTAGCTGTACTTGGATGTCGAAGCAGTCATGAATCTCTTGATGAAGGCCTAATTCTGGAAGATCTAAAGGTATGATCTTTTCATTCTGCCTCCGCAATGTGGCAAAGTTTACCTATCATGAGTTTTTACTTTTTTTCTTTCTTTCTGTTGGACTATCGTTTCATTATGGTCCTTCTGTTCAATTACTAAACCGTTTCCCGCGATGACCAGGTTTCTCAGGTTATGTCAAATGATTATCTGAAGGTCGCTCCAAACCAAACTGTGAAAGAAGCATTAGAATACATGCATGATAGTCGACAGAATTTTGTTATTGTGGTTAATGCTGAAGATTGTCTGGAAGGAATTTTAACATATGGTGACATCAAACGTAGTTTGTTTAACAACTCAGGGGATTCTTCCGACAGGGATTCGGCACTTAAAGATGTACGTATGCATTGAATGCCACCATAGATATGTTTATTTTGGTTCTCAGTATGCAAGTTCCTTTTTCAATTATTTCTCTTTTTCTCCTCTTTCATTATGTAATCTTTGCTCCTTGGTTTCTCTCTTTAATAGCTTTATTGGTTTCTTTAACCTGTCTACAGGCAAATACTTGTCTTGTTTCCTCTATATGCACAAGAGGGATAAACTATCGTGGGCGAGAATGTGGACTTATAACTTGTTATCCTGACACCGACCTAGCAATTGCAAAGCAGCTAATTGAGGCCAAAGGAATCAAACAGTTGCCGGTGATCAAGCGTGGTGGAGACTTGAATCAAGAAAGAAAGCGCAAACTTGTTGCTATTCTGCGTTATAAGTCAATCGAAGAGTCTATCAGGTTTTGTTTCTTCTATCCATAGTTTACTGATGTGTCTTATACATGTTCCCTCTCGCTGTAATCCAGCATTTAAAATATTTGTTTGGTTCTATGTGTTATGGGTTCAAGGTAAAACTGTTCTTTGATGGGACTTTTTCTTTCCCTTTTTTAAATATTATGTAGCAGCTTTTTCCAGAGGGAATGTAAAAATGGAAAAATGTCAAATGCAATGACTTTGTGTTTTGGAAGTCCACCGAGAATTTTATGTTACACGGGGCATAAACTGGGGCTTGCCATATATAGAAAAGAGACAGAAAATGTGAACTAAGTGATGAGTTCTTTCAATATTTGCTTAATTATGGCTTAAAACTTAAAAGTATAGCATGAATAGCAATATGTCTAGGACACCTTTGAAACATTGTGGGGCTAGGGCTCTGGAGGCTCAACAGCTATTTTTATGGTATTATACCAGCTTTTGCGCAATGATGTATGCTTTCTTTCTTAACTACTCACTTGTTGCATGTTTTGATTTTGGATGAACTTACTGGTTTTGCTTTGGAAGAAGACAAGTTGGTAGCAAGCATCGTAGCATTATTAAGGAGGTTGATGAACTTCTTATGGCCTCTGCTCTTGTTGTCTATGTTCAAATCTGGGATACATCTACCTTTCCTCCTTCTATATGTCTATCTTGCAATAATTGACTGAGAGAACACAAGATATACAACCCCTCAAATAACTATAAAGAGCGATATCAAGCTAGCAATTAAAAGTCTGAATCTCCAACTGTTTAGAAGTAATTCATTTGTGTTGGTAGGGAATTTTCTGAACATTTTAACTTCCACAGAAATGAAGTGAGTCGCCGAAAGTCAGTCTACCAGCAGAGAAAAGAAGACAATGACAAACAGATGGTAACAAGTGGTCATTAATTGCACGAAGGGGCCGAGCATGAAAAACAAGCTTCAACAATTAATTATTGTTTGTTGAAGACTCGGAATCAGCTGGTATTATGCAACTCGACTGCACAGTTGTTTTGGCTCATAATTTTGGCTGCATGAAGAAGTTTGAGTTCCCTTCAAGCTTTGTGGCCTTCCTTTTTCTGGACAGCCAGAGGGTTTCCTAATGTCTTCACACTTCATACCATACTTATTAAAAATCAAGATTCTATATTTGTTGGGTTTGATTTATATGAGTAGTTGTCGGTAGGTATACCTGTGTAATCTGATATCTCACATTTTGTACATGAAGTTTAATCTACTGTTTTAGATGCAAGTCTAAGGCAAAAAGTATTCGATACAGACAGATTTTAAAGCAGAAATATTCATTATTAATGAAAATACTCTCAATGTTTTACTCTTAACTGCTTGTACTGTTTCTCCTCTCATTCTATTCCCGGCATATTGAGTCAATTTTAATTTTTGTTTCTTGCTTAAACTCTTGTACTGTTATTACTTCTTTCATATTCTCTTTCGCTATCTTGGATTTAGTTTTCTAAATATCTTGTATTGCTATTACTTGCTATCAGTGCTTCTTCCATCTTTTCTTTAGCTGAGGGTCTATCGAAAACAGTCTCTTTACCTTTCCAGGGTAAGGATAAGGCTGCGTACATTCTAACCTTCCCAGACCCCACTTGGAGTGGCGGACAAAGCTGGCTAGAAGTATTTGGTGGGAAGTGAAGCTTTTGGTTGGCAATATGTCGCAGCAATTTTATATGCTCCAAAGGCTTTGGTCTATTGGTAAGAGTGTAGCACATAATGTGTGGATTAGGCGTACGCCGTGGGTTCGAAACTCATAAGTCACACCGTTATCTGCCAAGTTATTTGTCGAGTTTTGAACTTTGCGCCATTGTTCCTCGGGTTTTTTTTTGGTTATAGAATAGAAAAATATTTTCACATCTAAAACAATGGAAAGATGCAGATTAGTAATTTCCAAAAAAATTAGAAAAGAAAAGAATGCGCCAACCCATGATTGACCATCTCGATCAAAGCATCTCTAGTATCAGAGTTTATAGCTGCTTGTTAGTGCCAGATTTTCATAAAATCAGCGATTGAGAAGAGAAATCCTAAAAATGGCTATGGTAGGAATTAGACGGCGGCATCATGTTCATCTGAAATTCTGAACCTAGTTCTTTTAATGTGGAGTATAAATTTGTGGGTAAAATTTATTGAAATTGTAACAAATGGTAGGTCTGAATTCATAGTTTTTAAAATATAATAAATTTAATACTAAAAACCTTAAATGTTGAACTCATTGTTTGACCAAAAAGTATTTAGCTTTTTGTTAAACTAATAAATAATAAAATAAAGGATAAATCTTAACCAAGATTAATTAACTCTAGATTAAACATTAAAGCACGTTGGATAGGAGAATAAGATGTAGCCAAGCTCATGAACTTTCAAGATTTATAGAAGATATCAAATATAAATAATATGCTTACATCCGTCATGTATTGTACCGTGATATAAAAACAAAGGAGGAACAGAGGGAATTCCGTTGATAGTTGCAAGATCTATCTTTATTGATTCGAGAAAAGTAATTACAAAGATTTGTCGCCAAGATCTGCGGCTTCTCGTGTTTTTCTCCTATAGCTTTCTCCAGTTCTTCTGTCTTTTTTCTCTGTAGGGAAGAGACCCCCTTCTCTGTCTTCTTCCCTCCTATATATATCATAAGTATTCCCTTTTGTCTAATGGCCTTTGACCAGAGGACTTTCCTCCCCAGATCTCAATTTGCGTCGCTCTCCAAAGTATCACGACATTTACTTTGCCGTACAAGCTTTCTGATGGCCCGATCTCGGCAGTGGCCGAGATACTCATCGCTATTACGCCTTGTGGGTACGGCCACGTCTTAGTCGACCCCTTACCGTTCCTTTTAGCACTAATCCACGTGTGGTCGGATTTTGACCCATACAGTTAGTCCCTCCGCCCGTTGAGGTCGCCTCTTGGCGAGCTCGATGGGCGGACCCCGTTGACTCAAAAATTGGGAGAAATCTGAATGCTTCGTGCGAGGGGCGAGAACCTCGTGACGAGGTAGCGACGTGGCGCTTCGAGAATTGCGTCGGACCGTCACGTCAGTTCAAAATTGGACCGTCACGTCAGTTCAGGGTGTCATCAATATTCCCCATGCGTCATTATGGCGCACGTTTTCTAGGTATTGTATTGTTTCCTGTGCCCTCTTCGTTTTCTAACTGGCGGCCCTTAGTTTTCTCGCTCAGGGCACTTATATCCCTATAAATAGGGGGGAACCTCTCATTCGAATGTTACATTTTTCAATTGCTTGAGAAAGAACTTCACAAATCTTCTCCTCCCTCTTTAGTCTCTCATATTTCTGCTTCTGCTAGGATTCACTGTGACCGTTGTCTTTTTCCTTCATCATCCTTGTTTCTTTCGATCAAAGAAAAAGAATGGCTAGCGCTTCTTCCCACTCTGATAAGGCCGTAGATGCTCCGGTGCCGGAAAATGATATATCCCTACTCGAAGGGGGAGTAGAAGTGGTGGAAGAAGAGGGGTTTCCGACGGTGGATGAGGTGGTTCCCCACCCGGGAAGGCGAGGACTGATTTTAACAGCCCTGCCGAAGATGAGCCGAAGCCCGTTCCTTCTACGATGGATGCTGCAGCGCTCACGGCGTTCAAAGCCAAATGGGGGATCCCTGATCACATTGAAATGGTACTGGCGGATAAGGACATAATGCATTTACACCGCCCGGGCTACTGCGCGTTTTATGCGTATCCCTTCGTCATCGGGTACACACTTCCCCTTCCTTCCTTGGTGGTGGTTTTCTGCCGCTTCTATGAGGTGTGCCCGGACCAACTCTCTCCGTATGCGTACAACCTTTTCCTCATGCTCATCAAGTACGCGGAACTGGCCGACCGAGGGATTTCTCTAGGGCACATGCTCCACCTCTTCGCCCCCCATTTCCTTCGGGGTACGATGATTCATATGCGTCGTCGAGGAACCAAGAGTTTGGTGGTGAAGATGGACGATAAGGCCAATCGCCGCTTTTGGGAGAGCTATTTCTATGTACGAACAGAGCACGTCGTGTCGAACCCGACGGGGTTTCCTGAGACGTGGAATTTCGCTCGTGAGTTTTCCTTTCTGTTTATTTCATGCACTTTTTCTTAAGACGGTCGTCGGTCGTCTCCCTTTGACGATTTCACTGAGGATTTTGTTACAACCCATATTCACATACGTTAGTTCATGCCATAAGGTCGTAGACGTAAATCCATGAAGAGATTATCTTTAAGATGATAAGAGGTTAATCATATTGGTCTTAAATGATACAAAGGTGTATAAGGGTGGTTAACAAGTATTAGAAGTTAAAAGAATCAAGGATGTTGTCAGCTGTATTTTTGGGTAAACCTAGGGGTGCTTAATACTCTCAAGAGGTCGTATTTTAAGGTATATGAATCATAAAATATCCGTATCATAGTCTTGAAGTCAAACGAGTTATGAAACAAAAGTCGACAAGAGTTGTTGCAACTTAGGTTCATAGTTTTACTTAAACTTTAGGTCAAATGTTATTAAACTTTTCTCCCAATATACTTGGAATTACGGGGTGATCTACCCACCAAATTGAAGATCTATGAGTCTAGTTTCCAACCTTTTATCAATACGACATTGGAGTAGAGAGATATAGACATTTTTGCGAGACTGCACAAGCTGCTAGGTGACAAGTAGGTGGGTCACCTACTTGGTTAAATGATAGCCCAAAAAGAGGCAATTTCGGGTCAGACAAAGAGCCCATTAAAAGGCTATCTCCTGAAATATATCCCTCATTATATTTCACAAATAACCAGACCTAAACCCCTGCAAACTTCCTCCCAAAAATTATCCACAAACCCTAATTGATTTTCCCTCTCTTTCAAGTTCAAATTGGGGGTAAACCCTAGAGTTTGAAGAACCAAGATAAGGGCTGAGTTATCCAACAAGTAAGGTGAGTTTACTGCTATCTTTCATACATTTATTCTGCTGTGAATTCATGGTAATTCGTTCTATACATGTAAGAACTCACGGGACGGTGATCGGAAGCCGTGAGTTCGAGTTATTCACTTGTAGCGGACTGTTTTGTGTTGCTGTTGGGCTGCATGTTTTACTACTGTTTTGTGGAGTTTTGGAGGATTAAGGGTGTGGAGAAACACCATATAGATGTAGGGTTGTGGGCTGGTAGTTCTTCGTAACATTTTCGGGTCGTTTGACACGACTACGGTGGCCGTCGTATGTATGAAGTGATTAGGTTGTGCGTGGACTGTTTTGGGAGGCTCAATATGATTATTATTGATGTTGTTTAGTCTGTTTGGTGATTGTTTGGAATTGTGTGAAGTCATATATATAGGGGAGGTGCTGTCCGTTTCATTGTAAAATAGGTTGTGGTCGATACATAATAGTTATGACGCTTGAATGGTAACTATAGTATCGTTTCTCTTATTGTAGACTAAGGAGTCGTGAAAATTGTATAGCTTGAGATTGGGGCAGTATATACAAGGTATGTGAGCCTATCCCTTTCCTTCCTTTGCACGACTCCGATTGTACATAATGTAATGAACGAGCTTCCAAAGATACTCTACTCTTAGAAGCTAGTAGTACTTACATTGTTTCCTCTCTTATGGAACGATTAATGTTGATGTTGCTTCTCTTATTCTTATGTTATCAATGTTATTGGTACTTCCTGATTCTTACAAGGTTCATGGTGAAGAGTTAGTCCTAATAACGTGTACAGAGGATACCGACCTTACGTCACTCCGAAAGGTTTAGAACGTGAGTCCATGAGTCGAGCATGCATTATATATATGTATCTATTTTACTCTACCGAGCCGTGCTATAGAAGGCCGGGTATGGCACCTATTGTGCAACCACTGATCAGTTGGGTTTTACCGAGCTCCACATGGCCGGGTACGATTTTATCGAGCCTTATGATGGCCGGGTACGTTTTTATCGAGCCTATTATGGCCAGGTACGATAAGATGATGATGATGCCCACAGAGGCGTATGTTTTAAAAGTTTATGTATATATACATATGTATCACGCATTTCATGTCAGTAGCCCTTAGAGGTACCCAGATGTTACAGGTTGTTTATTCTCTATCCCAGTTTACATTACTGTTCGTACTTATGGTTCCATGCCTTACATACTCAGTACTTTATTCGTACTGACGTCCTTTTATTTGTGGACGCTGCATGTCGTGCTGTAGGTCCTGATAGACAGGCAAGCGCAGCTCCCCCACCATAGTAGGCTGTCCAGTTCAGCGGTGATTGGCGAGATCCCTTCTTCGGACTTGCCGTGGTCTTGGTATGCATTTTTGTTATAGACATTATGGGTATGTCGGGGCCCTGTTCCGGCTATGTTGCAACACTTATGTTCCTTTA